GACTCTTGCTAAACCGCAACATTTGCGAACATAAAAATGCAAAACCTCAAGTCAGTTCTCCCACCGTATCAAAAAAGGCTTATGTGTTGGCCTATGAGAAGTAGGATGAGAGTATTCATGACATCCACATGAATATTATTGAGCTAGCCAATGCCTCAAGTGCCCTGGGGGAGAAGATGTCTAAAGCTAAGTTGGTGAGAAAAATTCTCAGATCTCTACCAAAGATGTTTGACATGAATGTGAAGGCTATTGAAGAAGCCCAAGCCATAAACAATATAAAGGTTGATGAGCTTATGGGGTCCCTACAAACCTTTGAGTTAGAGATCAATGAAAAATCTGAAAAGAAGAAAAGCATTGCCTTTATCTCTAATATTGATGACTCAAAAGGTGAATGTGACTTGGATACAAGAGAAGGTATATTCAATGCTACTGTGTTACTTGGAAGACAATTTAACAAAGTGTTGAAGAAGGTGGACTGAAAGTCAAGATCAAATGTCAAGAACAAGTCATTTGACAAGTCAATCGACATCAACAATAAACAAGATGTTGAAAGTAAGGATAAAACTAATGACAAGTCCAACTAAGGAAGAGGAGTTCGTTGTCATGAATGTGAAGGGTTTGGACACATAAGAGTTGAGTGCCCAACCTATCTCAAGAAGTAGAAGAAAAGCCTGTGTGTGTCATGGTCAGTGGAAGAATCTGATAGTGATCATGAAAAAGAAGGTGTCAATACCTTGATTGGAGTCTGTAACTCTGATGAAGACTCAGACTATGAAGAATTAACCCTTGAAGAACTTGCTTTTTCATGTAAGGAATTAAGAATCAAAAGTTAAGAGCTGGACATATTCAAAGAAGAGAAAAAGAAAACTATTGATCAACTACAAACTAAAAAATTAGAGCACATGTCTATCATGTGTGGACTGAAGGGAGAAGTTCTCCTACTCAAGTCTCAGCTTGATAATATGACCAAGTCTGTAAGAATGCTTAACACTAATTCTGACATGCTTGATGAGATTCTTCAGTTTGGAAAGAATGCTGGAAATCTTAAAGGAAGTGGATATAACAATAAAACTATGAAGAACAAAGGCAAAAAGGATAAAGTGAAGTTTGTTCGTCCAAAGAAAGAATTGGAACAAAAGATGTCTAGTAAAATGTTTCAACATCAGCATGGACAATAGAAAAATCACTCAAGATAGAAGACTAAACGAATGAGATGTTATTATTGTGGAAGGTTTGGCCATATAAAATCCTTCTACTACAGATTGTATGGTTATCCCAAACATGAAGCTCAACCTAGAAGAAAACAGGTGTTCGTTAAGGGTAAAAAGATGTGGTTCTCAAGAAAGGGTACTACTAGACTCATAGCTCACACTTCTCTCAAAGCTTCTGCTGGAGAGGATTGGTATTTCGATAGTGGCTGTTCTAGACACATGACAGGTGTCAAGAAGTTTCTGGTGGATATTAAACTACGCTCCACTAGCTATGTCACTTTTGGAGATGGATCAAAAGGCGAAATAAAAGATGTTGGAAAGTTGAACTATACAAGACAACCTAGCCTTGATGATGTGCTATTTTTTAAGGGGATGATTGATAAATTGATCAGTATTAGTCAACTATGTGATTAAGGTCTCAAAGTTAACTTTACAGAGTCTGAATGCCTAATTACAAATGTGAAGAATAAAGTTGTCATGAAGGGAGCAAGATCAAAAGACAACTGTTATCTGTGAAACTCTGAAGAAACATATTGTTTCTCATCTTGTCTAACGTCCCTAAAAGATGAAGCTAAGTTGTGACATCAAAAGCTTGGTCATCTACATTTGAAAGGTATGGAGAAAATCTTGTCAAAGGAAGTCGTCAGAGGTATTCCCAAGCTAAAGACTGATGAAGAAAGAATATGTGGTTAGTGTCAGTTTGGGAAGCAAACAAGGATGTCCCATAAGAAGATTCAACACTTGACCACATTATCATACCCCGAATTTTCCCGCCCTTTATTTCTACAGTCAAAAATATTTTTAACATTGGTTTTTATAATATTCGTTGGTTCAGTTTTACTAACATTTTAACAATAATTTATATCGCTCATTTAAAAATGTATAATAGTTTATTTCAAATTATTTGTATTTTAAATAGAAAATACTTGTTCACTTTCATATACTTTCAATTGGATTTTTTTTTAATTTCAAATGAGTAACATAGTACATTTCGTAAGGAATGAAGCTTGCAAGTATGAGGTTGCGAGTTCGAATTTCTTGTGTTGCACTTTTAACATTTTCCTTTTCTATTTTTTGTTACTAATTTTCTTTCTTTTTTTAGAGATCAGACTTTGGACTTCTTTTAGTTTTTGGGCAACTTACTTTCTAAGTTTTTTTAACCTAATTCTAAATCTATAAATAGGACTATTGTATAACATAATTTTTCATCCAGAAATCTATAATCTCAATCTTTCTCTTGCTTTTGGTTTATTATATAGTTTCTGAACTGAAACCCTGAAAAACAAACCCACAAAAGTCAACAATTTTTTCCAATTTTCACTACACAATTTTCATTATCAATAATTCTACAAATTTTACAATTTTCAACCTTTTCTTGACAACTTTTTTTTCAAAACTTTCAAACTTTCTACAATTTTTAACCAATAATTGCACATGAGCCCCCTTTATTTTGTTAACGTGATGTTTATCTAATAGTTCCCTATTTTTTTAAATTGTATATTTTCTTGAATTAACAATTTTAGCCTAGTACATTTTTCACACAACACTACACACACCTTCCAAATTTTCTATTCAGACTGTAAATACACGTACATGGTTTTCCATCAACAACTCTGACACACAGAACCTTGTGAATACTACACACATTAGGAACATCATATTGAATACACACTCAACATCATTTTATTTTTATTAACAATTTATTTTCATAGTCAAAATCTCAAATTAAGCCACACCCTATTACTATTTTTTCTGTCAAATTTGTAACAAGGTCTCAGTAAGAAGCCAAAGCAACCTTATACATTTTTCTCACTAATCGTCCTTGTTTTTACACTAACCTATCCAACCTTGCACATCCAGTTTAGTTGATCCTTCCTCTGTTTTATATTATAATCATTTGGTTTATGTTTTCTATTTTCTTTTAGAAAATACATGCCATCTGTCTCGTTTTGATTGGTCATTTAGAAAAGCTTTTTATAGTCAAAAAATGACTCCATTCCATTTATGAGAAATATAAAGGGACAATGATTGCATGTGACTTGTTTTGTTTCCAATTCCATTACTATTAATTATATGTAAAGGATTCTAGGTTTGGTTTTTATTACTTGTATTATAAATAACTTAAGACTCTTTTTAGGATTAAGTGATTTAATTCTAAAGTTATCTAAACACTATAAAAAATACAAAAACAACAGAAATTATATCACCTTCCTTTTTTGGTTAGTTAATAAGAATGTCAAAATATTAAAACTTATTTTGTTTAATTAGTTTGGTGAATTGATCTAGTTTTACTAACTTGGTCAAATTAGCTTAGTTTTTATCATGGTTATAAAATATACAAAGATATAAATATGAAATATTCTCCCTTTATCAAGTTATTTATATTAGTTTTGGATTTTATTAAATTAATTTAAGTTATTTATTTTTAGTTTTCTTACAAATCAAATAAAATATTTTTCTTATTCAAATTAATATTTTATGAAGATGTTAAAACTCACACAACTTATCAGATACTCTATTTGCGAGTAATACGTGGCAAATATCTGATCACGTGATTATGACACTTTATCAGACTCCCTTTGTATCCTTCATGATGAGCGACACGTGGTCAATATCTGGCCATGTTATGAAGGGGAAGACTTTATCAAACTTCCCCCACTCTATGTCCTACCATACTCTCTAATCAAATCGAAAATCAAAATATCTAACCAACGATCAAACCATTTTTTTACTAACATAATAAAACTACAAGATTATTTTCGAAAAAAGGATTAAATAGAATTACTTTGAAAGAGGATATGTAGGCATACGACTTAAAAACCGTGGCGAGTCCCCTAACTAAAATATTAAAACCCTATTCCTAAACCTTAAACCTAAACCCTAGTATCCTTGTGAACAAGGTAGATGAATAGTGCCTAACACCTTCCCTTCGTCTAAAGTGAGTCAATAACTTAGAATATATGTATCATCAATTAGGGTTATTTCGTTATATTTCCGTATTAGGATACAAATTAATGGTGACGACTATATATTTTTTTTCGTTTATTACACATATCAAGGGTACTGGAGTTGTTGCATATGCACTTGATGGGACCTATGCAGGTTGACAGTCTAGGAGGAAAATGTATGTCTATGTTGTTGTTGATGACTTCTCAAGGTTTATCTGGGTGAGCTTCATCAAATAGAAATATGAAGTGTTTGAAGTCTTTAAAGAATTATGCCAAAGAATCCAACGAGAGAAGGACTGTGGTATAGTCAGGATTCGAAGTGACCATGGGAAAGAATTTAAAAACAACAAGTTTGAGGAATTCTGCACCTTTGAAGGTATTAGTCATGAGTTCTCCTCACCTATTACTCCTCAATAAAATAGGGTGGTGGAGCACAAGAATAGGACTATTCAAGAATTTGCAAGGGTCATGCTTCATGCTAAGAAACTTCCATATCATTTTTGGGCTGAAGCCATGAAAATTGTCTGCTATATTCATAATAAAGTGATTATCAGATCTGATACATGTGTTACTCTTTATGAGCCGTGAAAAGGAAGAAAGCCAACAATGAAATACTTTTGTGTCTTTGGAAATAAGTGTTACATTTTGGGAGATCGTGAGCAGAGGAGGAAGATGGATCCTAAGAGTGATAAGGGAATTTTTCTGGGATACTCTACAAAGAGTAGAGCCTATAGAGTATTCAATTACAGAACTAAAGTAGTGATGAAGTCTATAAGTGTGGTGATTGATGACTCAACCAAAGAAGCTGGTGTCCCAGATGATGTTGGAGCATTTTTTCCCCATGAATAACATTGTTCCTCAAGATATTGCAGATTCAAGTATATACATTGTTCCTGAAGATGTTGCAGATTCAAGTGTCAACTCTGAACCTGAAGAAACTGATGTAGCTGACAAAGGTCCTTCTTTTAGGATTCAGAAAGATCATCCTAAGGAGCTTATTATAGGAAATCTGAATGAAGGAGTCAAAACTAGATCAAGGAAGTTGTGTCAAACTCTTGATTTGTTTCAAAATTTGAACCAAAGAATGTCAAGGAATTCTGGATTCAGGCTATGTAAGATGAACTTGGTCAATTCAGAAGAAATGAAGTTTGGGACTTGGTATCAAGACCTGAAGGGGTAAATGTTATTGGTACTAAGTGGGTGTATAAGAACAAATTAGATGAACAAGGTATTGTCACTAGAAACAAGGCCAGACTTGTTGCTCAAGGGTACACTCAAATTGAAGGAGTAGACTTTGATGAAACATTTGCTCCTGTAGCCCACTTGGAATCCGTCAGACTACTACTTATGGTGGAAAGTCTCTTAAAGTTCAAGTTGTTCCAAATGGATATCAAGAGTGCCTTCTTAAATGGTTATCTAAATGAAGAAGTCTATGTTGAACAACCAAAAGGATTTGTTGATCCTTCTTTCCCAAATCATGTGTTCATGCTAAAGAAGGCATTATATGGCTTGAAGTAGTCTCCAAGGGCTTGGTATGAAAGGATGACTGAATTCCTTGTTAACAATGGTTATAGAAAGAGAGCAATTGACAAAACTCTCCTTGTCAAAGAGAAAGATGGAAAACTTATGATAGCTCGAATCTATATGGATAACATTATTTTTGGAGGAATGTCAGATGAAATGGTTCAACATTTTGTCAAACAAATGCAATCAGAATTTAAGATGAGCTTGGTAGGTGAATTAACATTTTTCTTGGGATTGCAAATCAAGCAGATGGAAGATTCCATTTTTATTTGTCAAAGCAAATATGCAAAAAATATTGTGATGAAATTTGGATTGGAGATGTTGACTGAGTACAATGTCACACAAGATGTCATGATATTGTTCAGTGATAACCATAATGCTATTAATATTTCTAAAAACCCTATTCAGCATAGTAGGACTAAGCACATTGATATTAGGAATCACTTCATAAGGGACGTTGTTAAAGACAAAGTCATAACTCTTAGCATGTTAGCACTGAAAATTAGCTTGCTGGTATTTTTACTAAAGCTCTAGATACTGTTCAGTTTGAAAAATTGAGAAGAAGACTAGGGATCCGTGTCTATGGGGAATTATAGCAATTACTGCTATTGGTGTGGGTCAATAAATGTTACCACTTTCTCTCCGATATTTTATTGGATGTGGATAGTGTTAAGAAAAGGAAATTTTTTGTGCATTATAGATTGTTTGGTGGAACACATGTTCTAGATATTGTTGTGACATCTTTCCAAGTGAAAACTATGCTGTCAAGAGTAATGATGTTACTGCTAATGATAAAACTCTTGCATCTGATGGTCCTGATGTTGATGACAAAGGAGAAGATTTTGTTGCTTAGGCTATTAGATGAGTATTGCCTCTATAAATCTATTTGGTTTTTCTTTGTGTACTTGTTTCTATTGCTTTATGATTTTGTAAGGGTTAAGTGCCCAAGATCTACCTAGCTTTTATGCTATTGTGTTGTTGGTTAGCTACTCACATTTGTCATATTATGGCTAAAAAGGGGGAATGATTGTGTGTGATCGAACCGTTGATCGTTGAGGGGGAGAATATGTTAGTACTTGGCAGGTTTTTAGGGGGAGTCCCTGTCCTGGACTGGAAATTTGTGAAGATTTGTCAGACATGATATCCTGACATGTTGAGAATTTGGTATTCTCTTATGTGTTGTGTTGAGTAGCTTCCACTAGTTGTTGCTCTGATATTTGTTGTACTGACTTCTGCTGCCATGCCTCTTATTGTTAGTGTGTTTAAGTTTCTTCTCAAACCAGAGTTGTTTTACTGTTTAAGTGTGTAAGATCTACTAAGTTGTTTTAGCAAAAATAAGTCAAAGGGGGAGATTGTTAATTATCTATTATGTCTTAATCATCTTTGGTAAAACTAACTTAGCATAGACATGTTGAAATAAGATGTTCTATCAACTGGAGCAACATGTCGAATGTGATGTCCTATGCAGTTTCTTTCGACATCGTGATCTTGTACAAATGGACTGTTGGATATTTTAGTTTGTTACAGGTGCTGAATATTCTGTAAATACTATGATATCCTATGTGGCGCACATGTCAAATATTAAAAAGATTCAAGCTAATTTTGAGGAGAATGATTAGTTTCTAATTCTGGAGATAATTTAGGAAACTAATGATTGATGTCCTATCCTTGAGGAGATAATTCTGGAGCACCATCCAGCTGCATATGTGAAACCTAAATCCAGTTCATTGAAGGTTATAAATAGAAGGCTTCAACCATAGTACAAGTGTAGAACTTATTGTATATTTTTATTAGGGTTTGTGTGTTAATTGTGAGCCTCTCGATTATCATCTTGGTAAAAGAGTAGGTCTTTGTTTTGAGTTATAAGTTTTGTCAGTCATTCCAAATCTTTTAAGTAGTTAATGATTATGTGTCTTTGAAGTGTGACTTATGTTATTTTCTAAGTGTTAGAATTGTTCAGTCACTGTTATGTGATTGTAAGGGATTTGAGAAGGATCTCATACCTAGGTGAGTCTTAGATAGAAGTTAAGCATGGGTAGTGATTAAGTGAGAAGTTGTAAATGGGGGAGTTTAGCTTCAAATTGATAATATCTAGTTGATTTCGTACCTGGCTTGGTAGCCCCCAGAGTAGGTATTGTTGTACACCAAACTAGGTTAAAAATACTATGTGTTCTTCACTTTTATGCACTTTGTTTATCGCTTATCTTGTCATTGTGTGTTTGTTCAAAGAAATGTATCTCAATATCTCTTAGGACAAATGAGATCTGAATACCATGATTTCACTTATCTTTTTGCTCACTTGATCAACCTTAGAATGAACTGAAGATTTTTTATATCCATATGTTTTATAACAAAAAGGATTTATATGACCATGCTCACCACAGTAATGACATCTCCAAATCAAGAATTGAGATTTGGATGAAATTACATCATGTCTGCCAGGACGTTGTAACATTTGGTTGGACATGGTGATTATTCTCTTCTTTTCATGAGGGAAGAACTTTTCTTCAGGAATTTTCTTCTGTTTATTATTAGAATGATAATTAACTCTTGTATCTTCAGTCTTCTTCAACACACTCGTTTCATTCTTCACCATTCTCAAGGAATTTGTCAATTTGTCAAACTTGGAATTTAGAAGAGTTACTTCACTTTGTAGATGAGAAATAGAACACATAAGTTCCTTCTTCTCATTCTCCAATTTAGATATGATCTTCCTCTATTCTTCCTCTTTTTTAAGGCTTTCTTCACACCTTCAGAAAGTATCCTTGTAGGACACATCCAGATCTTCATAGAGATCATTTTCATCACAAGCTTCTACTTCATTTGTCCATCTTCCAGAGAGAGCCATCACAAGTTTGATAGTCTCATTGTTAGCCTCATCTTCTGACTCATCATTATTAGACCAAGATACAATAAATCCTTTTTTTGCTTCTTGAGAAAGGTGGGACATTCCAGTCTAATGTGACCAAAACCTTCACACTCATAACATTGAATGCCTTTGCATTTATTGGTCTTCTCTCTGGGTCTGGTATTCTTCTGAGAATCATCATCATTTTTATGTCGAATGAGGTGTTTCTGACATTTGGTCTTCTTTTATCCATTATTTTAGAATTCTATTGAATTACATTCTAAGTAATACGATGGTATTTGACAGGCCTTCATTAGTATCCAGATCAACTTGCCCTTTTTTATCTTAAGAATTGGATACAAAAACTATGCTTTTGTTCTTCTTATCAAATTTGTCACTAATATCCAATTCAAAAGTTTGAAGTGACCCAATAAGTTCATCAACCCTCATGTTGCTGATGTTATGAGCTTCTTTCATAGTTGTCACCTTCTTATCAAATTTCCTAGGTAAGGACCTAATAATATTTATAACAAGCTTTTCTTCTGAGATCTTTTCTCCCAAGGCACTAGATGCATTTGCTATTTCAAGAACCTTCATATGATATTCATGGATGGTCTCATCATCATTCATCTTCAGACTTTCAAATTTAGAAGCGAGAAGCCGAAGTCTTGACATTTTCACTGTAGATGTACCTTCATGAGTTGTCTTGAGAATTTTCCAAGCATCCTTGGCTACAGTACGTGTATTAATCAACATGAAAACAGTCTTGTCCACTCCATTGAATAGAGCATTCAAAGACTTGGAATTTCCAATAGCTAATTTATCATCCTCATCAGGTTAATCTTCCTCTGGCTTCAAAGACACATTCCCATACTTGTCCTTCTCAACATGATAATCTCATCCTTTCAAAACAACCTTCCAAGCGTTGCTATCCATTGATTTCTGAATGGACACCATTCTAACCTTCCACAAGTAATAATTTGTACCATCTAACATATGTGGTATGTTGTTGTATCCTCATTCCTTGTCCATAGTATCAGAAATTATTTTCCCTGGAGCTCACCCAATAGACAGAACAGGGTGCCTGTCTGGTGCCAATTGAAATTCTGGCACTTACAATACATATGCCAAGAATGATGTCCTAAAACCCACATAATGTCAAGACAGATGTTATGACACCATCTGCTGGCAGAAAAGTACTTGCTAAAAACGGGAGATTATGCAAAAAATAAACTGCAGAAAAATAAACAACACAATCAATTGTTAACCCAATTCGGTGCAACCTCACCTACTTTGAGGGCTACCAAGCTAGAAAGAAAATTCACTATGATAGTATTAGTTTAAAGTTAAACCAACCCTAGTTTACAACTTATCACCTAATCCCTATCATGTGCAACTTCTACCTAGACACCTCTAGATATGAGATCCCCCTCTCACTTCCAATCACCTTAGTGATACCTACAGTCACAAACCTTGTGACTAGACCAAAAGAACCAAATGGAAGATTATACTTCAAATACAATACTCAAATCTTTTTCTTAAAAGCTCATGAGTGAGAACAATACTTATTTTTGCTCAAAAGCTTCAACTAAGAAAAATCAGTAACCTCAATGTATCAGAAGATACATGAGTGACATACAAAGAACAAAAACACAAAGAACTTAAAAGACTCCCAAAACCATAAACCCTTATGTTTCACCCACGGTTTTCTTCATGTGAATACTTGCTATTTTAGGTTTAGCGAGTCCTTATTTATAAACTCTTGCAGTATGAGCTTGGACTCTTCAATAAAATCCAATCTTCACTTTTTAAATCAGCTGCAAGATCTTCACACAAAAATAGGAACAAATCTTCAAAGTTTCCTAAAGAGCATCAAAGATCCTTTTTATGAAATCAAATCAAATTTTTACTTGTTCCTAAAATATCCTTGATTAGCTGCGCCTGTATGAGTGTTGCACCCTAAATTTCGCCCCTAATATTTTTTAGTCGTATTATCTTATCATATTTTGTTATTTGGTCACAATAATTAACAAATATCTTCATTCATCATATTTTGCATCATTTGTCGTATTTAAGCTGAACAAAAGACAGTTTAAATCGAAGTTTGCATCATTTTGTAGTTGAAAAACACCTGATATTTCACTTCATGTATTTTTATCTATTTACTCGTTTCTTGCATTGCTTCAAGTTGTTTATATGTCGATAATATTAATACTTCGGTTTTACAGACAAACCGTTAAAAGCGGTTCAATACTGTACAGAAAATTAACGAGAAAATATTTCAAGTTTTCACCTTTTACTAACCATTTTATGAATCTGCGTTTCGCGTAGATCATGACGGTATGCTCGCTTCATTTGTTCGGTATAGTTTTAGGTCTCGTTTTTAATCGTAAATGTTTGTTCAACTTGATATTTTTATTCTCATTTTATTTTTATTTTGACTATTTGAGTAATTTTTTATTAATCTCTGTGACATGTAGTTTATTTTAATGTGTTCATTTTATTTTTCGGATAGATTAATGTCCATTTTTTTACCGTTTTTAGTCACTTTGGGTCTCTATTTTTTTATTTAGAAACTTAAAACAAAAATACTTTTTAATGTGTTATTTTTTATATTTTCAGATTTTTGTATTATTTTTATTTTTAGTGGGCTTTTTGGACATACAAAAATATATGTTAAACTAAGCTTTGTTTTAGTTGATTGTAAGAGAAATTGCAGAATCTATAAAAAAAAGGGAAAAGTAGCGAACAGAATTGCAAAAACATAATTGAATTTCCTCTTCAACTTTCTATATAAAAACCTCATTTTTTTCTTTGTTCACACAAAACAATCTCATAGAACTCCCTCGGTCAATTTCCTCTTCATCACCAACACACTCAACCTTCACCAACCTTTTTCTCTTTTTCTCTTAAGGCAACCGTTTCAGCAAATCAAGCTTTGGTTCTCCGCGAGCTTCAGTTTTCTACCTCCACAACCTTGTCGTTTCCAGCACAACTTCCTTAGCTTTCAACAACACTTCTTCTGTCAAGTTGGTAATTTCTAATATCCTTACTTTTAATTGAGATTAATTTATGGAATTGTAGCAAATATGTTGAAAACTGATGGTAAATTTGGTTTATTATTGTGTTGATATCGCGGTTGTTGGACTGTTTTGAAAAATAGATTGGTGATGCGTTTATTTGTTAGTGTGTTGAAACTATGGATAGTTATTATTGAATTTAGTGTTGATAATTGATTTGTTTCATGATAAAGCTTGTATCGAAAAATTCTGGTTTGTTCCTGTTAAGTCGTGATGGAGAATTTGTTACTGTTATGCTATCCGGGATAAATCGGCAAAACTCTTAATGTCAAAGTGAGGTGAAATTCGTTTGTGATACCGTGTTTTTGTGTCTGAAACGATGACATCTCTTTGCTTGATTCCAATTGTGAGTGAATGATATTCGAGGTTTAGTTTCAATGAATGTGACGATGATGCCGCATTTATTTGTGTGTAAATCTGACCGAGAAACTATCGAGGACAACATATTTTTTCCTTTGTGTGAATTTGAGCGAGAAAGTATTTTTAATGTTGAGTATAATTGATTGAGTTGTGGCTGCCCCGGGTTTAATGGTTGGATGGCCTCGCTTGATTCGAAAATTCATTTTTGTCAATGGTTTGTATAAGACATTTTGATTCATAGAAGCATGTTACAATACTGAATCGGAATGAGAAAGGTGGATTTGATATCTTTGGTTTTCCGATTGTGCTTGAGCACTTTTTGTATAAGTTTCACGAGCACTATTTCGTCCGTATAATTGCTGCCCGGAATTCGGTTTATTTGTTATATCTTGGTTTTTGAGTTTAATTTCATGTCATGATGATTTGAACCGATTCAAGTGAATAGTTGATGTTGTTTTGATTATGTTTTGTTTTGATTTCAAACGATGAAATCTCGGTTGCAATAACAATGTTTTTTGGTAGCGTTCGTTTGATGTAAGTTGAATTTTTGAGTTTTTATTCGTTCATATTAATGGCTGCCCGGATTTGATTTGTTTCATCTTAGCTTGTTTCGAAATCAAATTCCTATGTTTCGATTTTGGATTGAATAATATCATGAGTTTCTTTGGTTTTAGTTTCGTTTGTGAATTGAAATCCTTGAATAATCATCAAATTACTTGGTTTTCTATTTGTTCATGTGCATTCATGCGATTTCATTTCGATTTATACCTTGTGATTACAAATACATGTTCTAATTGTCGCAATTTCATTTGATTTCATTTTTATACCTCTTATGCTACTAACAAGTTTGTTATCGTGAAGGTTTCCAAAAATTGTTTCAAGCATTCATTCTCGCATAGCGCATCTATAATTTTTATTCATTCCCTTTTTTTTGTATTTTATTTTGTTATTTTGATTTAATATTTAGTAATGTAAATATATAATTGTACATAATACTTTTGATTTTGTATTTTATTTAATTCACTTGTAACTAAATTCAAGTTGTGTTAATATTCTTGCCATTGCGTTGTGATTTTAAACTTTAATTTAGTTTAACTTTCGAAAATCATACAGACGCATATAATTTTTCCCGATCACTTAGAGTTGATTCCAACATGAGTCTATTCTAGAAAATACTTAACCAAGTGCAACATTCAGTAATTTACACTTAAGCTTTAAATAAGTTTCCCCGTGCTGTTGGATTTGTCAGTATATTTCATGTGATGTAGGGATTCTTATCCAATACCGTGAGCCTTATTTGATATCTCGAGCCTCATCTGGTATCGTGAGCTTTACCCGTCACCTTTGCGCTTTATCTGATTCCTCTCGTTATCAATGTTTTCTTCGTCCGTGATTTATTTTCACGTGTTGCACTCCTTGCTTATGAATTGATATGCTTTATCCGATGTTTGGAGTATTATCTTATATTTGGGTTTCTTTTATGTCGCCGGCTTGTGATTTATTTTCACCTGAGGTTTGGTATACTATTAGCTTATTTATCTGTCTGTGGCTTTAAACCCAAAGGGATGGGAACACTGTATTGACTTTATCATGTCAAGTACTGGTTTCTTATTCGGTCAGATCCTCTTTACCTTATCTTTTACCCTCCTATACATAGGATACTCTCTTCATCTTATCCCATTCTCTAATTTTCAAAACCTACTCATCTTTTTTCAAAATCTTCTTTGTTTATAAACTCGAACCGCTTTCATAATAAACCTCGACTTTATCGAGTTCCTTTTCTTTTAAAACTTCCTTTCTTTAAAAAAATTTCAATTCATTTAATCATACTCTTACATTTTTCAAAATTAAGAAAAACATTTCAACTCATTCAAACCCTTTTGTGCGCTCGAGCACCTCTTATCCTTTTAAAAACCTTTTCAAGATTATACATGATTCATTTATAGTCGAGCAACATTCTCTTATCCCCATGGTTATAAATGTGTCAACTTTTGCACTTGAGTACTAGAGGTGTTCTCAAACCCTCACTCTTGCTGACGCAGGGTCCATCTTTCTGACATCTCGTGGGCGTTAGTCGAGATTTCTCTCCTAAAAATGACGACTTGTCTCTTCGTTTAAAATCAATCAACAAACAAGTCTTTTCTATCCGAACTATGGTGCTCTGACTTTCCCATTGCACGAGGGAGTACGTAGGCACTAAGTCTTATGACCCAAGGCGAGCAAAAATAATTTTAAAAAAAATATTTTCTTTTGTTTGCAAATACTCATTCATTCTTTTTCCTTTAGCAAGTAAACCTTTAGATAACACACCTTTTGAAAGAAAACAAAAAAAGTGGATCCTACGGAGTACTGTAGATGCTTAGGATGCTAATACCTTCCCTTTGCATAACTGACTCACGTACCTTGATCTCTGATATTTTATTTCATTGTGGGTTTTGTTTGCTTTTTTCCTATTTCCACTTGGAAACAATAAAGTGTGGTGGTGACATCATTGTACTGAGATAAGTCAATTGATGGATTAATCTCAAATATTTACCGCTACATCTACATTTTATTATGTTCTCATTTCATTTTTTTGAACGGTGCGACAATGAGTACCAGAAATTTCCCTAATCTCATCTTTTTTCGATCAAATCTCCAAGGAAAAATAATAGCAGCACGTGTTGTACAACAGGCCACGATGTCACGACATCTGGCTCAACATCTGTCTGAAACATATGACAGCAGAATCTATCATGACAGATGATCAAGATGTTGTGACATCTTGCTCAACATCATATAAGAACCATGTTTTAGCAAAATTGTTGCCGATCCTAAAACCATGGATATAACAAATGTGATCATTTTCTAATATGTTTAAGATGATTCCTAAGACCTCTAAATGCACAAGGTGCCATACAAACTCAAAGATAACACCCAATAGACAGAAATGCCATCTTCTTATAGTTTTGACATCATGCAAAACATATCTAGAGGCAAGTTGCACTTACATACTCCCCCTTTTTGATGATGGCAACACTGCGACAATGCATTTCTTGTGTTCATTTGGCGCTCCCCATGAATGTGTGCTTCTAATCTTCATCACGCATACCTTATCTCCCTTTGACAACATCAAAAAGAGACAAAGCACGTCATTAGAAGTATCGTAATCTTACACAACATTTGATATATCATACAAAGGCATTTTTGCAAAGTAAGAGTGTGCATTCACCTACAACCATATATACGGAGTGACACAAAATTAAGAATAGATAAAAGATAATTGCAAAACAAATTATCCAACAATAAATTGATAAGGCAAAGTTGCACCAATTGTTTAAGCATCAAAACCAAACAACATATTGTTCAAACACATAAAGGGGAATAAAATGAAATGCATGAAATGAAAGTAACATTAACTAAACGAAACAACACATCAATGCCCACTAATCCACAATTACGCCTTTGATAGGTTCTTCCACTTTGAAGCATGCCTTCATAAAACTCAGACGCATCCTCATGATTCTGAACTACACTGAAGTACAAGTTATTGATCTTGCCTTGGACAACAACATTGTTCATGTGGATATCATCCTGAATTAATTTGAGTCATGTTGTAGCAGCTGATGCAAACAAATTAAAGTTTGTGTCCTTAGAATTTAATCTTTCATGAACAAGTCTAAATTGTTCATCATGAACAAGTCTTGTTTCTCTCTATAGCATCAAGTTCTTATTTTATGACCCGTAACCAAACTTGCTGCTTAAGAGCCTCTTCCGTACTCACGGGTTCAGAGTCTACTAACATTGCACACTGAATAACTTCTCCTTCAGAGTCTACTTTAGTGTCTTGCAACATGTCAAACTCTGCAAATCTTCTTGGGATGCTTCTGACTCTTTGTTGCCATTGAACTGGACCTTCAGAAATTTGGACACCAGAATTTTCCCCTTCAGAAGCACTTGCTTCAGAAATTGGACTTTCTCCAGAACCTTGAGTGTCTTCAGAGTCTGGATCACCATCGGAGTCAGAGTCAAAATCATCTTCTCCTTCTGTATCTTCTTCAGAGTCAGAGTTTTTACTAGCTTCAGAAACATGTGTTTCTGACTTTTCTTCATGAGTTCTCTCATCAGAGTCAGGACGAGACCTTTCCCAATTCCAAACTTATGATTCCTTTACAATGACGTCTCTGCTGAACTTAACTTTGTTAGTTTATGGACAATAAAGTTTGTATGAACCTGTATTATGGTATCCCACCAACAACATCACTTTACTTCTATCATCCAACTTCTGTCTTTTGTCTTCTGGCTTCTGGGATATGTTTGTAACATACAGAACCAAACACCTTCAGATGACTAACACTTTGCTTATCTCCAGTCCACTTCTGAATATGAACTATTTCCTTCAATTTCTTCGTTGGACATCTGTTGAGCACATAACATGCAGTTGCAACAGCTTCTCTCCACAGAGTATGAGGAAGCTTCTTCTCTTTCAGCATGCTTCTCACCATATCAAGCAAAGTACGATTTCTTCTTTCAGCAAGACCATTGTGTTGAGGAGTATAGGGAGCAGTAACCTCATTCTCAATTCCATTTTCCTCACAGAATCTTCTGAATTCTGCGGAGTTATACTCACTACCACCATCAATTGTAACAATCTTCAAAGTCTGGCCACTCTGATTCTCAACCTTCAGTCCGAACTTCTTGAATTCAACAAACACCTCGTGTTTGAACTTTTTTGAGAGATACCCATGTCATTCTGGTGAACTCATCAATAAATGACACAAAATATTTATTCCCTCCAGTTGATGCTACTGAAAAGGACGGCACGCATCAGAATGCATTACTCCAAAGGTATGCTTTGTTCTTGGAGCTACTTCTGATGCAAATGGTAATCTTGGTTGCTTCCCTTCCATGCACACCTTGCATGACT